GCAGAAAAGACTCCTGAGAGAAGGCCACCTTGTTATGTCCAAGATTGAAAGAGGAAAGATCTGAGCTGTCTAAAAAGCTGACTAAAATGAGAACTGCCCAACCTTGTAATGCAGAAAGAGCAGGCAAGAGAGGATGTGGAGAGGATGAGGACTCTGTATGATGATAGTAAATAACACCTCCCCAACAAAGAGCCATCTCTGAGCTCCAAAGAGACCTGTCCCCCTGCCACTACTACCCTGGAAGGGTCAGTGATCTGTAGGGTCCAGGACCAAGCCCTCACACCAGTGCTGGACACTGATCTCCCCCCTGCACATGCAGAGTGACAGCAGAGGGGATGCTTGCTATGATCCACCCTTCTCCCCCTGGACACCTGGGTTGACTTTATCACTCCTAAAGAACCTACCATATCTGACCAAGTCCATGTGTGAGCTGGTCCCTCTGGGTTCCTTGCAGAGCTGACAAGGAAAGGACACGGGTATCCTCAGATAGGAATCATTCAACCTTCTCTAGACCTCTACACCGAGATGCAACAAATCATGTCCCAATGTGTCCATGCCTTTCCTAGGGCAGGAAATTTGAGTGATCAGCCCACACACAGGTCCCACCTTTATTCACATGATCTCCACACTGAACTGTAATGTGTGACTTGAAAATATTTGTCAATGAGAAGGGGTACAAATGCCTTCTATGTGCCTAAATTCAGGTGAGATCCCAGCGTGGTCAGGAATCCCAGTACTTTTGAGTCTGTTTGGACAAAGTCAGGAATCCAGTGGTGCTAAGAGGAACATGAACAACTTACAGAGTCTGCCTTTCTCCTAAGGAGTTGTTCCCTTGTTTCTCATCCAAAAAGGAAGCTGGATGAAAACTGTAGTCAGAAGACAAACAAGCAGTTTATTGTAACTCCAAGCATATGACAGAAAGGGTTGAAAATCAGTAAGGAAACAGAAGGAGATGAGCTGCAAGGCAATTAAGGTGCCAAACCAAATTATATCAATGCTGTCTTCCAAGTTTATCCCATAGCACCAGTAAAGCCGAGCATTTCAAAAGTACCACATAACACAAGACAAGGAGCAGCTGACCAGCAAAGACACAGCCACACCATTTGGAGGAGGGAAAGCCCATCCTGAAGGCATGGGTCCAGCAAACTGAAAGCCAAAAGCTGCAAGATGCCAGTCCAGAAACCACTTGGGATATGTCCTAAAACTCTCTGCTCATGTCTAGAAGCATTCACAGCATGTCCATGTGACATGCAGCCTCCTGTACCCTTTGTGAGCTACAGTAGCTTCACAGGGAGGAGGGGGGATATCTTGTAGGACATGAACCCCTGGGTTGTTTTCTCTGGTAAGTGTAGAGTTTGCCAAGAGTTCACAGTCTGAAGACTGTCTCTAGGACCAGGACATTTGGTTGTGACACATCCAAACCTGAAAGTCTTTCCAAGCATTTGCCAAAGGGCGTAAAAGCAAAATGCACTGACTCAGCCCTCCCCGTGATGTCTTCATGATGCCAAGATGATTATGTGGTCTCTTCCAACAAAACAGGTGAGATGAAAATGGAGAAGATGATGAAGACCAGCTCTGCATCTGAGCTGCACCTCTCAAACTCCTCCCTGGAGAGCAATAAAAAGCAAATCTTATGAATGGGGAATACTTATCTTCAAAACATTATTTTCTTACAAAGTTGTTTTTTGGCAGCACTTAGGTGAATTAGTGCCCAAATCCAATTACAGACTTTTATGAGTAAGGAGAGATGAAAAGGTTACAGCCAAAGCAATGACCTCATGAGCTCCTAGCCATGAAGCTTTCAAAACAAAGCTTATTTACCAGTAAGAACAAGCATCTCAAATGAGCTTTGAAAAGATGGGGCAGGAGAAACCTTCAAAATACCAGTTGTGGTGAAGGAATTGCGCCCAGTGCCAAAGCGGAGATGGATGTCTGTGCATGTCCACAAGATGGCAGAGTGTGCCATGCTGCAAGAGCATCTCTGAGGATCAGATGCACCCATTCTCAAATTTCCAAACAAAAAAAGAGGATTTTAGGGGAAGTTGTTTTGGTTTTTGTTTATTTTTTCACCTTTTAATTGCCAAATAGTCACAGGTTTTCCTCGGAATATTTTGTTAAAATACTATTGATAGATTCCAGCAGTATAACTCATGTATATATATATATTAACGTCCAGATATCCAGAATATTCTGCTTAACCCATTAGGGATGTCACTGTATCTCTCTGTAGAGATACACATACAGACCTGAATGTACACTGCAAATTAGTTCTAGATTCATGTCCTATCATACCTTATCATCAAAGGAACCCAAATTTCCAAAGCAGCCTGCAAGTAAGACTACATCTCTTGAACGTGATACTGTTAACCCTGCTATTGTTGCTGAAGCACATTCAGCAGCAAAACATTTTCATATGAGTCATGCTAAAGGATGCTTGGACCAGCCCAGTGGTGCGTGGAGGATGCTCGGACTTGCCCCTCTGTTCATGTACAGCTGCTGTAAGCAACCTATGAGTTCTTACAGACAGAACAAGAGTTTATGTATCTCCAAGCTGAAAAACCTCTTCTTCAGGATATGACACAAACATAACCGCAGTGTGGGACAGCTCCACGGAAGGTGGATTTTTCTTTCATAGGCTCACAGAAATATTTTCCCTTATGCCCCCACACACTGCTCCACAGAACCATTTAAAACAAGGGATAAAGACCAACAAAATCACTGTTGACATTGCACGATTGCGTTCAAATCCAGTTAACAATGATATGTCAGGATTAAACCAGTTGTCTGCAAGTATTTCACTTGTCAATGCCAAACAAGATAAATCCTCACCCAGAACTACCCAGCTCCTCGTTCTCACATGCACATATGACTGCACATGCCTAGGTAAGCCTGTCTCCAAAATAATGCAGCATTGCTCGAGTCTGCCCAGAGGCACAAACAAAACATCAAATCCATCATTCCCACTGAGTCTTCCAGTTTAGAGATGCCACACTAGCAATTAATCTAGATATCAAGGTATATACTGGAATGAATTCAATGGAGACAATGGACTCAACCTGGTGTTAGGAGAGGATAAGGTGACAACTTGGTGTTTAGGGCAAGATGAGGTGATAACCAGACCAGGAGGACCTAGTTTATTTAATAGCTGTTGACTGAAAGTTATACCCTAGAGAAGAAAATCAGTTCCTTGCACCGAAGATGGTTTGATTTCTCATTTCCAATTATTCCCCAGGGAAAATCACCTTATTTTGCAGAATTACTGGGGTCTGTATCATCTGAACCTGATGTTTTCTTCCTGTGACCTGAAGTCCAGACATACCGAGCATGGAAGAGACTGAGCAGGAAACAGCTGCAGGTTCCCTGACAAAGTTAGCAGCACTTATTTCTCCACTCCTTCCACTGGTTTGTGCATTTAGTGCCACTTAGCTCACCCAAAAGAAACAGTAAGGCAGATCATCACATGGTTTTCAGGATGAGCAAAACTTTTCCTGGCATGGTGCATGAGCAAGAAGCCCAACGAGCTCTTTGCTCAGCACTGAAAAGGGTAGCACTACCACAGCATATGAGATGTCTCCATCCTTTCCTCTGGAGGCAAAGAGGAGACTTCAGCAAAAACATGCTGAGCATCCTCAGAAACTTGCCCAGCCCATGACACTCAGCTCCTTTGAGGACTAGGGCTCTGGAAAGTGAAAAATTATATGATGTTGACAAATTGACTAATTCAATTAGACTTTTTAACAGAGGGTCTCATCCTGCTATTTCCCAACATCCAAACACTAGAGGTCATTTAACCAGAACTACTGAAACTGCACTGTATAGTGAAGCCAGGTAAAACCTGGAAAGCGAATTTAGTAGAGCAATGTAAGGATTAGAGAGAGTTAAACGCAAAATGCAGGCTTTAAGCAAGGCATAGAGAACTTAGTATTAAGAAATAGCGGAGGCAATAAATTCACTAGAATACAGGACACTCTGACATGAGAGAACATAAGCATGAACAGAAAGAACTAAAAATGCTAGCACACACAAAAAAAGGACATATGGAAGAAAAAAAAAGGGAGATAAGAAAAGGGACAAGCCAAGAAATCAGGTACTCTTGCCAGATACTGAAAATCCTTGCCAAATGCACAAGGAAACTACCCAAATTAGGGAAGGTTCAAAAGTTTATGAAGATGATGATGAAAGGACACTGAGTTCATGATGAAGAAAGACAGGAACGACCACCGAAGTTCTCCCCAAATTAGAGACCACACCTCAAACTCCGCCTCGACTCCGCCTGTTATGAATATTAAAACTAGATGTTGCAAGATAATGAATATTCATAATATGTGATGTAATTGCTTGGCAAAAAGTGTATAAAAAGCTCAATTGTAAGTTTCTCGGGCGGAGTAGGTTGTCCAGGGCGACCTGGTTGCTCCCTGGTCGCTCCCCGGCCGTAAATAAATACCTCCTGCTTATAGACTGAAAATTCTGTCTCTGAGTAGTTCCTCCACGCCTTCTTTGGGGCACAAATTGGCATCAATAGAGAGATATGGAGAAGGAACAGGCTGGAGAAAACATACAAGTGGATGACCATTGCATATAAACATATGCACACCCCATAGGAGAAACGCCTGTGTCAGCACACCATCACTGCTGGTTTCCTGGCAGCAATTTATTTTGGAGCTGTCAGGATGGTTGATGTTTTTCAGAATCTCCTTTCCTAAAATATATGAGTTTTGTGTACATGTACATATAATATATGTATGTATATATATTGTCCTCAGCATTTCATCTCCCAATGAAGTCTACGTGGTAACTGCCCTCACCCAGCACTAAGGGTCACTGCAAGGCTTGCTGAAACCACAGGCATAATTCTCCATCACAAACCCCAAAGGACTACAGCTCAGCATGTCCAGTCCAGCAGCTTTCCCACTTCTGGGGAGGGTTTTGTAAGGAAAGGTAAGGCAGGGAAGGAGCTGCTGGTCTCCACCACAGCATGGGCAAGATATGTCATCACCTACCTGCCACACTGGAAGGACTTTCTCTATGTCATTCAAGTTGATGCTATACATCACCATCCTCGTATTTCCCTTTTCCAAACCTGTGGTAAGAAGAAAACAAACAAAACCACATGAAATCTCACTGGAGCCAAAGTTAATTTTCTACTATGGCACATGGGGAAAATTATTTCTTACTGCAAAGGACCCTCATGAAAACAAAGAAGCTCTCTGAAGCGAGTATGCTATGCCTCCAAAACTGTCCCACGAAGGCACAAAACTGTTAGTACAAAATTAAATGCTTTTCTCAGTCCTGCACCTGCACCATCTACCACAGCATTCAAATGTTTTTGGTAATAGCAGAAGTGAAAAAAACAAAGGCAGTTCTGAGCAGTAGTGTTGGGTGATTCAATTCCCAGTTCAAGTAAAACTGAAAGCACACCTGGACAAAACAAAACAAACAAAAAAAGAGGACACAAAAAGTAATGAAAAATGTTTCCTTTGAAGCACTTCTCATTTGCTGGTCTCCACAGGAGGTTGAGTTCCCCTGCTGAGAAAGGTATTGGTGAACAAGCACAAACATACCTCTCAAACAGCAAACGGCAACTGGTATAGATGCAAACATACAATTCGAAAGGCAAAAACATTTGGGTGAGAAACCAAGCACTCACAGACCAAACACGAAGCTGACAGATAAAGGACTTTATTGCATCAAGAAAGGAAAAAAACCAATCCAAAGGTAATTACTAACTGGATGCAGAGAGTTTGCAATGATACAGAAGAAGAAAAAATGATCAATAAATATCATCCTTCTGCATTTATATGTCGTGACGGAAAGCTCTAGACGCTTAATGTAAGAATCCAGGAACTTCCTTTATTGTAGATTGACAGCAGCTTAATATACACTCTATAATAGGTTCATGAATATTACAGAAATTAGGCTCATTATTGGTACACAGTTAGGTGGTGATATCATCTTAACTGCCTTCCATTGTTTACACAGGTGGCTCGTTAAGTGTCTTTGTTTTGGTAATGCCAAGTTCCTGTTTTTCAGCTCAATTTAGAATACCCAAGGACATTGCCGCTTTCTCACGGCCTGCTATCTCAGACCTTCTCACGACCTAGTCAAGAGGCCTAGTGAGACTGCATCTTATACTTTAGCAGCTCATCCATAGTTTTAGCTATATCCATATGCCCTTGTCCTGCTAGCTAATCCCCTACATTTATAAACAATAGAGGTGATCTTTTTTTATTATGCAAGAATGATAATGTATTTTTTGGTCAATAAGTGACAAGATATTGTTAAATAACATATTAAACAGAAACTTTGATGGCAGCAGACCCAGGTAATCAGTGTCTGGAAGTCAGAGGACAACATATTTTGGTGGAATTACAGTAAATGAGGGGAAAAAAGTCCAGAAAAATGGCATGTACTGAAGTACTAGGCTCAAAAAGCAGTAAGCTAAAGGGAAACAATTAATTTAATTAATACCCTAATTGCAACCTGGTTTAGTGGAAGGTGTCCCTGCCCATGACAGGGGGGTTGAAATGAGATGGTCTTGAAGGTCCCTTCCAACTCAAATCATTCCCATAAATCTATGATTTATGGGAAATAAGAGGTGTTCAACAATTGACTTTCCCTCATAGATGAAATAGTGACTTTAATTTACAAAGGGAAAAATATAGCATGTGTATAGGTATAAATATATATATGAATGAAAATATATTTATATATATATTTATATTTATATGCATGAGAAAAATCAAATCAAACATCTGGGGACAAATAATACCAGTTGCAGGTACAGAATGGGCAAGTGTACTGTAGGAAAAGGTTGTCTGAAAAGGATGGACACTGTCCCAGGCTGAATGTCTGATGCCGGACTGTGGCATAAATGCAGGGGATGAGGATACAGGAATTTGGGGGATGAAGGCAGCTTTCCTCTAGAGACAGCATGCACATCTGAGCCTGAACTACAGGACAGCAGGTAGCACTGGCAGTCGTGTTTCAAAGAGGTGTTAGAGAAATTTCTTAGACAAATTTCTTAGAGTGCAAAAAAAACTAAAGTGATACATGAGCTTGGGAGATACCTGGAATGAAGAGAAAATATCAGCTACAAAAGATTGTTTGAACTGGAAGAGTAAAAGACAAGCAAGAGTTAATGCTGGAAATTAAAGGCAGATAAATTCAGGTCAGAAACGAGGTACAGTTCCCTGGTTTTTCTTAACCACTCCACGTTGATTATTTAGCATACCACCAAACTCAGTATCTTCCAATAAAATCAGATGTCTTTCTGGAGGAAAATGCTTCAGCCAAGAAAATGTCACTAAATGTCAATCAACTGAATGCAACTACTTGGTCAACCTTGGGCAAGTGATCAGGCTAAGGAATAAAATGGTCCCTTTGGTACTTAAAGTGTAGAAAACACATATTGAACAGCATCTTTCCTTTTTATTCTATTTATTTGTTCATTGCACAGCTAGCATGTTAAAAAACTCCACTCAAGCAAGAGGGAAAATGCCTAGTTAGCAGGTGGAGATTATTGGAAGTTCAGCAAGCTGAATCATGCTCAGCAAAGATTTGGCAGGGAGAGCTGATGAATGCACAACACAGACAACTTTAAAAGTTAAAAAATAAAAACAATTTTGTCTGTGCTTTCTCTATTCTAACACAGGTTACTTATACGGCCTGCATTTTGGGAGATGCATTGTTTGTGCTGACAGCATCTGTTTAACTTTTCTGCATATACATTAATTCTTAATCATTTTTTACAACTGTAATATTTAGGAGTAATTAAATATCTCATCTCCACACCGGCTTCTCTACCGGTTTGCATACTGGGCAATGTCTCAGTTTAATGAGACTGAAGTGTTTTGCTAAGGAGGATGAGTTATGAGGAAGACCAAGCTCCTCCCTCTAAGCAATTGAAAATCCAAAATTAAGAGGCTCCAATTGAGGAAGTATGGAAAAAGAAAAAAAAATAATAGCCCTTTATTAAAGGATATATGTGTATTGGTAGAACAACAAAAGAACACAAAAACAACTAAACAATAATACTGTACCAAAAGTCCCCTTCAAAAAGGAAACAGTTCAGTACTTTCTGCCTTTTGGCGCAATTCTAACCACGATCAGGAGGGGATGCTGTTGGATCACTTGGAATGCAGAGCCTGCAGTTGCTCTGTGGTGGTCGACAGGGGGCGCTGTTGGGCTCTGGTGGCTGCTGTGTGGGGGCCCCAGTGCACGGGAGAAGCTGAAAATGGAGATCTCCCTCCCCACCGACAAGGGGAAGGGGAAAAGGGGAAAAAGGGGTTCTTCCCGCGAACTCACACTGTCGGCATCTGGCTCCAGCCGGGACTCCCCCAAAGGTTCCTTCGCAGAAGGGTCAAGCCTCTCCAATGAAATCTGGACAAGTCCGGGCTGGGGACAGAACAGGGTGCAGAAGAATGGAGGCAAACCGGGGCAAGAAGCAGCCAGATGACCCAGCCAAAACCAAAGCAAACTTGGAACCTTTCCACACATACACCCTCCCTGAGTCAGAGCAGAAGTAAAGTGCCTGCTGTTTCCCGAGGAGAGGAAAAAAACTCATCACCTTCCCCCCCCCCCCCCAGTCTTCTGAGGGTCATCAACCTGGAATGTGGATCTGTTAGTTAGTTCCTTTGTGTGTGTCAATCACCCTAGGCAAACACCCTCCCCTTCCTTCCTTCAACATCTTTCTTTTATAGCAATGCAGGGGAAAGAAAAAAAAATTCCCCCTTGGTTTTTTTTGTAACGAGTAAACCTATGACATTATCAACCCCTAATTTGTTTTTCCTTTCCCATGCAACCACACTCTACCAAATTAAACCATTGAACTACATACATACATGCATTATTCTACCTATATACACAGTCACAAATATATAGATACTAACACAGAGTTATGGACAGTTCACCCGAAGATCCCCTTGAGGTATACACTGGGTTTCTCCATCTTCCAGCATTACCCACCAGGTCCTTGGGCAAAAACAATCCCACAAATGGGTTTGCCTTTGCTCGAGGCAGGATTAATCCAAACTGTTTTACCTGACATAACCCTCATGTGAATCACTGGGACTTTGTCTCCATCTACAGTGTGAAGGGACTCTAGGCAGGGCCAGCTCGATTGACGGAGCCTCTAGTGTTGACTAACCATGTAGCCTTTGCTAGGTGCTGATCCCAGTGCTTGAAAGTCCCTCCACCCAACACCTTTAGGGTGGTTTTCAACAGTCCATTACACTGTTCAATCTTCCCCATGGCAGCTGCATGGTATGGGATGTGATACACCCACACAATGCCATGGTCCTTCACCCAGGTGATAACTAAGTTGTTCTTGAAATGGGTCCCATTATCCGACTCGATTCGTTCTGGGGTGCCATGTCGCCACATGAAACAAGAAGCTAGGCCCAAAAGAGTTAACTGCTAAGAAGCCCCCCTAACATCTAATTGGTCTGTGTCACCATGGTTAGTTCTGTACTGCTTACCAGACCAAAACTTAGAAGAATGTTAGAGGCAATTTTCAATAGACCTAGAGGCAATAAATTAGGATACAGTAAGATAAGGTAGACATTTGAATAGAAGAAATAGGCTTGGAGCCAGGGCTTTCTCCAAGCTTCACTGAGCTGGTCAAGAACAAAGGAAAGGTAGAAAGTTCACAGTGATGAAGAGGAGCAGAGACCCCAGACTCATGAAAGGAAGACCTAAAACCCCTACAAGAATTGAGTGCCAAGAGAAACTCCACCTGAGCTCTGTCTATACTCTGTCTGTTATTAATATGTATAGATAGATGTAATCGTATGAATATGCATTTAATCATATATGAAAATTGTATAAAACCCCCTGATTTTGCGTGAAACCTTTGAGCAAGTTCTCTGTGGTGCAAGCCAAGCTTGCTCCTGACGTTGGCAAAGAAATACCTTTGCTGCTCAAAAGATCCAAAAGTCTCTGAGCAGTTCTTTGAAACGGATTTTTCGGATTCACACAGGACTTCCTTTTCAAAGCCCAGGATGATATTTCAGGCAGTGACGTGGGGCACCGGATGTGTCTCCAGTGATGCCTTAAGCCCCTATTAGCTTTTTATTTTTCTAATTTTTGTAAGTTTTATAAGTTTTATAAGTAGTAGAAGTAGATTTTAAAAGCAGCAGCCCTCGTTCCCTTACCCTGTAGTACAAGTAGTTTACACATTCCTTAACCCTCTTACCCCATTCCATGAACCCTATATCAATCCTACCCCTGAATCCAGTAGAAATGTTTAGTCTCTTGTCAAGGCAAGGCCTATACTGTTTAGAGAACACTCATATCTAGGCCTGAACAACAGAACAGAGTCAAGAACTAGGTGACTGTGTACCCTTCGTGCTCTGAGGATGATGAAAATGATGAAGTAAGTGGTCCTAAAGGCCCCCAGACCCAATTCTCAGGGGGTGGACCTGAGGCGGACCAGAGCAAAGGCTACAGGGTGGACACACTTGGGAGAGGGAAAAAACTCATCACCTTCCCCCCTCCCAGTCTTCTGAGGGCCATCAGCTGTAGAGGATTGGCTAGCAGGACAAGGGCATATGGATATGGCTAAAGCTATGGACGAGCTGTTAGAGTATAGAACACAGCTTGTCTAGGCCGATGAGAAAATCTGAGATGGCAAGGCTACAGTGCCCTTGTAAGTGCTAGTTGGCTGGTAAACAGGACGTTGTGATTAGCAAAACAAAAGCAACTGAGAGCCACCTGTGTCAACAAAAGAAGGGAGTAAAAGTGAAATCAACATTTAAGCAAGAACCAATAATGAGCTTAGTTTTGCAATATGTATGAGCTAATTATAAAGCATATATTAAGCTGTTAGCAGTGATCAATAAACGAAGTTTGCTGATTCTCATATTGAGCGTCTCTCTCTTCCCTGTCGGGACAATCAGCCTGGAATGTGGATCTGTTAGTTAGTTCCTTTGTGTGTGTCAATCACCCTAGGTCAACACCCTCCCCCTCCTTCGTTCAACATCTTTCTTTTACAGCGATGCAGGGGAAAGGAAAAAATATTCCCCCTTGGGGTTTTTTAGAACAAGTAAACCTATGACAGCATTCACAGTACACCGAGAACCAGAGGCAAACCACAAAGCAGACCCTGCTGCATCTTCCCTGTACATAGCAGGTGTCACTGGCAGGATCACTTGGCAAGTGCCATCAACCATGGAGCATATTATATCTTATTTTACAGAGGGTCCTTCATCTCATTTTTCAAAACCATTTGTAGAAATGGGAATAAACATGTCTAAGGCACATAGTGACTTAGAAATTTAGTGTCACATTGTTTCAAATATTCTGAACATTGCTGTTGATATCCCTGCAGTAAATATTTACAGTGCAGGAAAAAAAGCCTTATCTAGTTCTGTGAGTCTGCCTGTCACCATATGGTACAACTCTGCTCTAGCCCAGAACGGGATGATAAAAGAGTCAGATAGACTGATTGTTATATCCTCAAACCCTGTATGTGGTCCAGCACCTCTCTCATGTGTTGTCCACATGAGCCATGCCACCAAGATAGCATTCCTACAAGAAAGGAGAAGTTAGAGACCTTCCTGGAGAGCACGGTATTGCACAAACAGCACTCACCCTTCTCTATCTATGTGAGGCAGTAGGTGTTTGGAGGTGTTTCGCAGCTTCTTGTGAAATTGGGTGAAAGTTAGTTTTTCAGGCTGCAAGTCCCATGTCGCATCACTGGGAAAGAAAAACAGGGAAAAACAAAGAAAGAAAGTCCACTACTAACTAAATACCACTGAGCTGAAGAGCAGAGGGTATATTAGAGCCTGCAGGCAAGGAAAGCTGGTATTTCTGGAGACAACACTCCCTGATGCAGAACACATGGATGCAGGCCTCCAACCTTCATACTTCTGCATCTCCTTTCTTTTCAAGCTCCTGTTGCTTGATCTAAACCCCTAGCTTTTATGTATGATCCAGCACACACCTTGCGAGCTATACTTGTTCTCTGTATCAAGGGGGTATCGCAACAGGTAGTGGTCTGGTCCATGCAATAGAGATGTTCTCTCTTGGTCCTGCATGACCTGCTCCAATGGCCTGGAGTAAGTACCAGGTGGGAACTCAACCCCTGCAGACTCTTGCAGTGCTCCAGTGTTATAATTTTAAACTTCTTAGTGAATTTTTTTTCCATACCAATACAGACAGTCGGGGG